ATCTCTGGCCCTCCGCCGCGCGAGAGATAATTATCGAACGAATTGAAAGGACTGATTAATCTCGCTGTGATTTCCATTTTTTTTTTCCATCAGAACCACGCACATCGCAATTTGTCGTGGGAGAGGGCAGAAATTTTTTTCGCGAAACTTTTATCATAAATCGGCGTAATGTCGTTTTGAGAAGTGTGACGAGTGTTTCCGGTTTTATCGATTTACATTTACACGTGCGCCGAACGTCCCCGATCCCTCGGGATGTGACCGTTGATTTTGATCGACGTCGCTTTGTCGTATCTACCTAGGCTGGTGAGAGATCGTATTTGTCCGCGGAATAATACATAAGTAATTCTGCCGCGATGATTATCAGCCGCATACATACGCGAAGCGATAAATGGCAACGCGTTCTGCGGACGCCTGCTTTTATAGAAGGCTAATTATCTCCTCTTTTATGGAAAATGCACATAAATGCACATAAATGCACATAAATAAAGAAATAAGCGGAGATAAAACGGAGGTATAATTTTTAATTACTCATTACATCCTTTGTTCGTGCCAATACATCTGTCTCCTGCTCCTCCTCTTCCCTTCCCCGGTAACGTGACGTGAATCTACGTCACATTTGTCACTTTCGTTGCGTACGCTGTTTAAATCATGAAAGTCACAAACATGATGGAAATCTGATCGAATGCACGTGACTTTTCGCTTCGGTAAAGGCTTGCGAATTATCTTTCCCCTGAACCACTAATTAACGTGGTGCAAAGAAACATGAAAGTAAACGCGTTACGGTATAACAAGCAACACGAGGCATTTAATGCCTCATCGAGAAACCGTCAAAGGCTCATGAGTTACGGGCATAATTAAAGACGCTAACGACAGTGAATAAACGAAATTAATGACGAAGCCGTTTGCGGCGTGCGGCCACGCGGAAGAAGACCGTAGCGTAAAATCTTGCGGTAAGGAAAATAGGTGCGAGGCGAGATAACGTACTTACGTTACTTTGCTCTTTCTCGCGCGATATTGTGTCCTATATATATCCAGGACTGTCCTAAGGGCACCCTCCCCCCTTATTTATCATGCAGCATTATTGTCTACAAAGAAGCCTGCGAGTAATATTGCGCGGGAAAGAACAACACGCGTAACATCGCAGGGAAATAACTGAAAAATTTCCGAAGATATAGTCTACGTAACAATTTCCTAAATTTTCCTGGTTTAAAATATATAATAATATACGAATGTATATATATATATATGTGTGTGTGTGTGTGTGTGTGTATATGTGAATAATATACATATAAACGTAAGAAAAGATGAATAAGATAAGAAGCTTAGAAACATCCGTCTTTTCGTCTCTTCGTCTCTCGCTGCATTTCTCGCGTGACATTCCGTGAATTTAAACAACGAATAACAGTTGTTTAAGAATGTTTAATTCTTAATCGATTAATTTTATTCGGCGGACGCTTTTACGTACGCTCTCTTCGCAAGCAGATATCGTAAAGTAGAACCTTCATTCCGGATAGGGAACTTTACGGGAACGCGCGCACTTCATCGCAGCAGCTGTCGCTGCCGTTGCCGCTACTCTTGCCGCTGCTGTTACTGCAAATCGCGTTTCTTTCTCTCGTACGACGACCTGGTTAGCGTGGTTTCGGATTTCACTCGTACAAAATAATGCGTCAGCCTGAGGCGAGGCTAATAAGCGACGTCGGAACAGCCGAGACAAGTAGCGACTTACGAGCGGCAAACAAGTCCGGCAATAACGGCGATCCAATAACCGACATCTAACGGCGCGGTTTCCCCTTTCTTTTCCCTCCCTTTCCTGCATTTTACTCTACCCTCCCCGCCAAACGCCCCCATTAAACGCACGCACCATTCTCAGAGATTGCTCTCCATCGTCTACCGCTTTACCAGTGTCAATTTCATAACTGGCCAGTTTATAGTCTATTCCTTTCTACTATTCTGGAGGAAAGAGAGAATTCTCCTCTTCCCCCCCCCTCCCTTTCTCTCTTTTCATCGCTGAAATTACAATCCGCATAACATACGCCGTGCATTGCTCGTCGAAAGAAATAACCGCGCGATCCTGTTTTATATAAACTTTCTGTCTTTTTGAAATTGAAGTTTGAATTTTATTCGGAGTAAAATAGAAAAAGATATTCGCGGAAAGATGGCACTTTGTGGACAATTCATATTCCTAAGGGTCTTATTTAGACGTTAATGTTCTCATCGCGATAGCAAAACAATTATGTGCATAATAAGGAGGTCGTCGAGGTCTTATCGCTGCAACACTGTTGTGCCACAATTTCATTGTGTTTCACTTCGCAACACGTGTACAAGAAGAAAAGATAGAAAATATGAAGTTTCATAAAAGAATGTCCGCCGATTATCTCTTTTCTTCTTAGATAATATGGATAAAAGATAAAAAAATCCTCTATAAAAAAATAAAAGTAGTTCTAAGTAGAACACTTAAAGGTCTCGCATCTTCGCGAGAAAAACCGTATAACCGTATACGATGTAAATTTCTCATTTTCACATCCAACTTGAACTCTCCAAGTTACATACGTTTCTCTACGTCGGGGGGAAAATTGACAAATACCTTGTATGCAATATTCAACTAAGTAATCACGAAAGTTATGCCCTGCCTTCATCTTCTAAGTGTGTTCTCGAGGTAAAGTCAAGTTACACGACAAGCGCGTGTTGTTCAGGTGACACTTTCAGAAACACGACGATCATTCATGCTGTCGCGCGTCAATAGTATAATAGCGGTATAACTTAATCTTCGATTCTTCGCCGCCAGGTAAGTTCTCCATTACGCTGCTGTCGGCATTCAGTCAGGAAATTCATTTTCTCGATGAAAAGCGTTGCATTAAAATGTCGCGCGAGGCATGGAAAAGCGTTTCCAGTTTCATTAGCCAAAAAAGAGGAAGTGTTCGATTTCTCTCATCCTCGCGTTAAAAGTTGTAACAAATGCGATAATAATGTGTGGTCGCCAAATCGATTCCGACAGAAATTTATTCGTACACGCTTTCTATACCCTGTAATCCCGTAATTTCAATCCTCATGAGAAACGACGGCTGAATTCCAAGGGATTTCGATCGGTGGAGTTAACGAAAATTTTTTATTTTCCGTTTTTCGAAGCTTGCGTGACCTTTTAGTCAAAATCCCATTATTTATGATGGAAAAGTTCGTGCAATTTTGTTAAAAAATTATATAAAAAAATTTGACTTTTTATTTTTTTACTGATAACGATAAATGATACTTTGTCAATGATACTTTGACATTGACATTCTCGCGACATATAACATTTAGAGAAATGTAATAAAAACAGAGAGAAGTAAAAGTCGTTTTGTCAAAAATATATGTGAAGGTCAGACTAAGATGGAAGTTTCTTTTATGTTTTTGATGGTCATGCCATCCACAAGTAACCTACGCGATTTTTTGCGGACGTAAATTTAAAACTTAAAAAAGTATACTATTAGTCATAATAGCGCGCATACAGACACATATGTATATATTTGATGCGACATTCAAAAATTTCTATAAATTGAAAAGAACGTGATAACGATTTCGTCAAATTTGGCCAATAGCTTTTACTCGATGCTTCGCTTTAAAATTAATTTTAATAATTCATATTGTAATTTTATAATTTAGTACATTTCATAATAAAGTAAAACATTTTTGCTTCAGTATGCCAACGATGGTATCCCGCGAAAATAAAAAATTGCAAGAGGATATTAAACTCGGCAAGACTTATAAAAAATAAAATAAAACGTAAGATAAACATTGCAATGTAATAGTTGTGTTGCATCGTCATTTTTAATTTTTATTTCTATCATTTTTTTCTCTTCAGCGTCAAAAACTTTATATTTTATATTTTAAGTTATCATTACGTTACGTTTCATATTTCTCTGTTTTACGTGTCTATATTTTCTTTAACAAATATTCTCGATATTCTGATTAACTATAAATATTTATGTTTATTATCTAAAAAAATCTAAAATTTAAAAATACATAAAAATACATAAATAACGTAGCGTATTTCATGCACGTGAAAGATATTAGTTTAATTAACAAAGATAAAAGATACAGAAACTTCGGGGAAGTAACAGCTTTATTCTCAAAGTCTCACCTGTTGCTACCACTTTCGAAGAAGCACTCGCAACTAATGAGTTAAAAAGAAAGGAGGAATGCTTATCAAGATTTAAGAACATTTAATACGGATTTAATGTAATCTTTAAGAGACTTAATAACTTTATTTGAATTATTAGAGATATTTGTGCAAAGATATATATTTATTATCAAATACAGGATCCATTTAATTTAATTCATTATCTCTCTTTAAGAGATTAAAAAATAATATGCTCTTATTAATTTGGTAGCTTTTCATTTTGGTTTAAAAAAATTACAAACGGATTGAAATGTGTAATCGGCTTGTGAAGAATTAAAAAAAAGGTGTTACTAAAAAACAGCGGTGAACCACAATGGAAATTTCTCGCATGTTCGCGCATGTAACATTGAATATCAAAGAGAAAAAAAAGCGGATCAAAGCAAAAAACGTCAACTAGACATATTTGAAATCGATTGTTACGGAATTGAGAGTTTTGTTACAAATAAATACGATAACGTATTTATTCGTAATAATCTTGTGACATTGAATGAATTTTCTTCGCGTTCACGCCACTCGCTATCAATATATACTCGTTCGATCGAATCTATAATGTATCACTACTCGAAGTAAGTAAAGTTTCCTGTTTATTACGCGACCATCAAGTGGCGATACGGTGGGCAAGTAACAAGATACGTGATAAGATAAAACTCAAAATCGATCGTTTTACAGGATATCAAATATGCAAAGAAGACTTTTATCCGCGCGCGCGCGAAAAGGAAGATACGATTACAAAGTAAGAAATTTTCAAAAACATTCTGTTTCAAAAACAGAATGGAAGATAAGGAATGCAAAAGGAAAGAAAGCACATATAGAAAGGGTGCATCTCAAGAGACGAATTGCTCACCTGTTGCTGTCAGACTCTGCCGGCGCGATCCTGCGAGCTTGCAGATAAGAGACAAAAATGACACACGGCACCTCCTTGGATTGTTGAAAGATGGGAAACTTCCCGTTGTTTCTCTTTCTGCCGGAAGATGAAACTCTTCCTGGACGAGTGATCTTCCGCTTGTTCTCACGTGACTGCGAAGATATGCTAACGTCTTCCTCGAGTCACCAACGACGACGACGACGACGACGACGACGTCCGACGTTGGGTGCCGCGACTTCGGTGTCTGCGCGCGGGAATGACGACGAGAGCGTCGCGACGCCGGCCTTTATATGTGTATGTATGTGTGTGTGTGTGTGTGTGTGTGTGTGTGTGTGTGTGTGTGTGTGTGTGTGTGCGCGCGTC